GTACAGCCTGCGTCACTGCAGCAGCAGCAGCAGCAGCAGCAAAAGCAGCAGCAGCAGATGCAGCAGCAGCACCAGCAGGTAGGGAAGCGCAGGCGGATTTAGAGACCCGCAGCGCCTTAAAGGGGTAGTGCTCTAGAAAATGAAATGGACCTGCTGCTGCTGCTGCTGCTGCTGCTGCAGCTGCTGCTGCTGCTGCAGCTGCTGCTGCTGCTGCAGCTGCTGCTGCTGCTGCAGCAGGCTAAATAGGGGGCAGCAAAATCTCCAATGGCTAACAGAAACGCTTGGTTGTCTCGCGCTGCTGCAGCTGCAGCAGCAGCAGCAGCAGCAGCAACCTAAGCCCGTGCGACACTATAACCGGCACAGCAGCAACCTAGCAGCAAGGTAGCAGCAGCAGCAAGTTCGCAGCGAAATCAGCAGCACCAGCGGCAGCAAGTGGTGTACCTTTGCGTTCAATCTGCTGCCTTTCGTGCAGCAGCGCTCTCCTCTTTGTTGCTTCCAGCAAACGCTGCAGCGCCTCCTCACGTCGAATGCGCTTGTCTGCAAGACACAGCAGCAGCAGCAGCAACAGCAGCAGCAGCACGAGCACTAAAAGCAAGAGCAGCAGCAAAACTAGCAGACGCAGCAGCGCTAGCAGCAGTACTAGCACTAACAGCATCAGCAACAGCAACAGCACCATCACCAGCAGCACTAGCAGCAGCACTAGCAGCAGCACTAGCAGCAGCACTAGCAGCAGCACTAGCAGCAGCACTAGCAGCACTAGCAGCAGCAGCAGCAGCAAGTACCTGCTCTTGTTTGCTGCAGCAGGAGATGATGTTTTTGCTGCTCTTCTGCTGTTACTTCAGCCAACCGCTGCAAATATTGCGCTCGATATATGCGGCGGACCTCAGTTAGCTGAAAACAAACAAACAAATAAATAAATAAATAAATAAATAAATAAATAAATAATAAACAAAGAAATGCATGCAAAGATAATTCATAAGGGCCGTTGGTATTGAGGTGTCTTCACTTCTTAGCAGCAGCAAAAGAAGCAGCAGCAGCAGCAGCAGAAGTAGCAGCAACAGCAGAACCAGCAGCATCACCACCATCAACAACAGCATATGCAGTAGCAGCACTAGCAGCAGTAACAACAGCAGCAGCAGCAAATACAGCAGCAGAAGTAGCAGCAGCAAATGCAGCAGCCGCATATATACAGCAACAGCAGCATATACAGCAGCAGCAGCAGCAACAGGGGGTTTTCACCTGTCTCTGCCACATAAACAATTCTGCTTGATAAGGGGTTAACCCTTCTCGCAGCTTCGCCTGCTGCTGCTGCAGCGGGGCCTCAGGGCCCAGCAGAAACCTCAGCCGGTGCTGCAGTGCAGCAGCAGAGACAGACGGTACACCGCGCACTTGCTGCAGCACTTTAGGGGTTGGAGCAGCAGCAACAGGTATCTCCCTGCAAACAAACCACATGCATGTGCATCTTCAAACTGCTGCTGCTGCTGCTGTTATCTTCCTGCTGTTCTGAGTCTTTTGCTGTTGTGGTTGCTGCTGCTGCTGCATCAGCAGCATCCGTTGCTCTGTCTGAGCAGCATCTGTAGCTGCCCCAGCATCAGCAGCATCTGTAGCAGCCCCAGCACCAGCAGCAGCAGTAGCAGCATCAGCAGCAGCTGCCCCAGCATCAGCAGCATATGTAGCAGCAGCAGCAGCAGCAGCAGCAGCAACAGCAGCAGCAGCAGCAGGAGCAGCAGCAGCAGCAGCAGGTTACCTTGGCGGAGGCAGTAGGCAGAAGTGTTTCGCTTTGACTCTCTTCCGAACTGCTGCTTTGACGAGAGACTCATAACCCCCTACCCAGCGTTTAGGGGCCTCTCTTAAAGACCCGCGTTTATAATATCCAGGGGGCCGCAAGAAGCAAGCAGCAGACACTGCAGCACGAGGCAAGAAAGAAGCAGAGCTAGACATTGCTTTGAACAATCTTTATCTTACTCCTACTGCTCATGCTGCTGCTCCTCCTCCTCCTCCTGCTGCTCTTGCTCCTGCTGCTCTTGCTCCTGCTGCTCTTGCTCCTGCTGCTGCTGCTGATGCTGCTGCTGCTGATGATGCTGCTGCTGCTGATGATGCTGCTGATGATGGGGATGATGCTGCTGCTGCTCGTGTTCCTGCTGCTAGTGCCGCTGCTGATGATGATGATGATGATGCTGCAGTTCCTGCTGCTCCTCCTGCTGTTGCTGCGGCTGATGATGGTGCTGCTGCTGCTCCTGTCGCTATCGTGGTTGCTGCTGCTTCTGTTGTTGTTGCTGCTGTGGTTGTTGTTGTTGTTGTTGCTGCGGCTGCTGCTGCTGCGACTCCGGTGTAGCGCAATGCTGCAGCAGCTGCTTGTCTTCTTCCTTCTGCTGCAGATAAAGACACCTTCTTGCTGCTGCTGATGCTGCTGTAATGAGCAAATATCTTCAGTTTTGCTGCAGCAGGCCGCAGCCCCCTAGCAGAAACTGCAGCAGCAGCAGCAGCAGCAGCAGAAGCAGAAGAAGTGAGTGTGGTGTTGTTAGACAAGCATATATCTAGAATCACAAAGATCTATAAGCGGCTGTGCTTCATCTTATGTAGAAGCCTCTGCTGCTGCTGCTGCTGCTGCTGCTGCTGTTGGGGGGCCCCCCGGGGGCCCCCCCACTGCAGGGTTGTGCTGCTCCCCCTGTTTGAAACAGAAGTTAAAATTACACCAAGACCTAAACCCTAAACCCTAAACCCTAAACCCTAAAACCTGGTGTTGCCCTTGTGAGGTTGCTGCTAGAGCCTCTGCTGCAGTACCGGCAGCAGCAGCAGCAGCAGGAGCAGCAGCAGCAGCAGCGGTGAGCAGGCGGCTTTTCTCAGGGCACCTTGGCTTCGCCGCCAGACAGAGGGAGGCTTAAGCTGAGCCCAATTATACCCATTGCTGCTGCTGCTGCTGCAGCTGCAGCTTGCAGCAACTCCAGCAGCAGCAGCGTCAGCAGCAGCAGCGGCAGCTGCTGCTGC